CCCTCCTATACCATTTGCAACCGCTTTCCCAACTGATGCAATGAGCACTGCTTTTTACCTGTACATATTTTTCTGGCCAGGTGAATGAAATGTATACAAGGAAGTGAAACAGAGTGCGGATATCCCAAGAAAAAGCAAATAACTGGTGTCATCATAGTGCAGATTTAGTGATTACAGTGGTAGTTTGTGGCTGTCCTGCTTGTGCATGCGCACATAGGTATTAAGACACTAGTAGCTTCGGTGAATCACACCCGGTTGCTGGCCAAACGAAAGAGCAAGATCAACAGGCAAGCCTACCGTATACACGCATGCACCACACGCGAACACACCGAAACGCAACTGATCGATGTTCCTATTTCCCTCACTCCCTCCCTCCCCACCCCCCACCCCCACCGGTATTAGCGCAGTTGAAATTTCAATACTGTTGTTGGTAATAGATTTCAGCAATATCCAACATCAAGGGAATGATCTGAATTTAAACACCTTTTGAGAACAAAACAATCCGATCATTACACTAGTGAAATTTCAATCACTGCAGTTACACAACGCCCTGTTCGATTCGTCGATTTAATGTCAACTGTAGCTGTGGATTGGCCACAAATCATTTGATAAGCACATTGTAAACCGGCGGAACAGCGATTAACGTCACGGGTTCGACTCCCATCGGAACGTAAAGAGGGCGCAGAATTCCAGATTCGTAGATTCGTAGAGATTATAGATGGCGTATATGCTATATTTATCACTCAAGCAATTCGAAAATTTTGGATGACACTGATAATGAAGCAACCACCAACTGCGAGAGACATAACCAACTAACCCCAATGAGAAAAGGGCAGTGAAAACTATAACCAGCAAAAACGCAGCATTCAACACCCAGAGTGAATCATCAGGAAGAAAACCTAAAGGTTTGAATTCACACATGGTTCACTTCTCGATTTTTTTATTGCATAAACAATATCAAACAGAATTGGTTCTAGTGCCATTATGGTACTTTGAGTCTAATAACATTTCCTCCTACATAATCAGATGATACAGAGCATACGACGTCTATCTACTTGATAAATACTGTTCGAGAGCAAGGAACCTGCCTAGTCATTTTCTGACATTAGTCATTGTGACCGTTGATTTGAACCTTGAATACAGGCTGTCACTCACCGGAAGTATTAATAAATATGGGAAGATGCGCGTTTCGCCATTTGAAGGAAAAATGCGTAAAGATCTTCTGTAGCTGACTCACTGCATTGCCATGCATGCATAACATGTAAAATAAACGTAAGCAGTCGGCTACTGGACACGATGCTTGTCATTACCGGCGATCTAAAAGCATGGGTCCGTAAATGGGTTTATTGAACCCCTCCGTACGTTTTCCTAAGACTGGCCTCCATCCTATGCAATGCTGTCTGGTCTGAACTTGTCTAGACTTGAATTTTTCGCTTTGGTAACAGAATTTCATTCATTTGTATGGACAGTCAAATGCTGAAAATATTAGATTAATAGCTAATTAAGATGAGATCCAAATACGTTAAGAGGAGTTGTTTTTTCAGCTTTTTACATGAGTAGAGGAGGAACTCGTTCTCTATCACCAAATATTGATCGGTTTTGCTGTAGATCAACCTGTAAAATTGGTGTGAGCCGAAGCTAAACTGCCCAGGCTCAGTATGGAAAGTGATCATAGCACGTGAGCTGGCTAAAGGGAAGCCGCTCGCATTAGCACTCAGTATTCTCTCACCCTTACCAGGTGGCCAGATTAGCTAATGAGTTTAGCCGTCTGCACCAATGTGTGTCCGCTTCTGAGAAACAACCTTGACTTCAAAGATGTGCTCGATTAGTAGTAGGCTCTTTAATTCCACAGTCATAGTGCGTTATCAATTACATTCAAATAGCTCACTACTGATCTCTGCCAAGTCAAAATCAGGTATCATTCTACTTTGCTAGCCATTAGAAGAGAGAGAATTTCACCAGCTTCTACCAACTGAAGTGTCCGTAAATCGAAGGGTGCGATTTCGGATGTGATATCCAAGCGTATTTAATGGAAAAAATTCCCAACAATCATCTTGAGTAGAGAGTTAGGGTCATGGAGAGATTCGAATACTGCCAAAACTCCATATTGGAAACTAAACCCGTGCGTTTGGCCAACCCACCCTCTGAGTGTTCACTGCTGGGTATCAAAGGCGTAACATCTGATATAGCAGATGTGGACATTGACCACTATACCACCGACACTGCCTTTTAATTTCATATAAATTATAAATGAGATTCGAAACTTAGAAAATGTAAATATATACAAACATGTGCTCTTGAAAACCAACATCTACCGAAATGTTCAACTACTTAGATTGAGGGCTACGCAGACCCTACGAAGTTGAATGATCTAACCATAATTGAGACACTAAGGAGAAAGCTTGATTTCAAGACTTATTTTGCAGTATTAGCAAGAACCAGATGAAGGAAGGCAAGGTTAGTTATCTTAGAAAGACAGGACAAGAGTTCAGAGCGACCAACTGTAGGCAAAACATGAAAGAGAATGGGTAATAGAAATGCGAATAGATAATTTCGTCTTGCCAAAACAGATGGGCTTTATGTCATAGAGCCGAAAAACAAAAGCATTTTTACAAAGCCTAAGAGCAATTTTCGAAAATGTATAAGGCGCCAGTCTCCAACCTTCCCACAAATAAATATTACGTCCAAATTTTATCCTTGATAGGATCATTGTACTGATGGCCCAAATGTAAAATAGCAACGACTACTGAGTTCACATAGTCTGTTTTACGTGAAGTAATTGAGATTTGGCATAGATTCAGAGATAGTTAAGTAAGTTCGGGAAGTTACTACGGCAACCTCAACGATAGCCTCTGTTAACTATCGACTTAAGTAGCGTATCGATTTGTCCAAGCTGTCATCACCGCCCTATCTTAGTTAATCGCCCATCAACTTATCTGTTGTTCTCTTTGTAAAACGCCGACTTGTTTCGCATTTCAGTTAAACGGAAGATAAACTGGTCTGGGAGCTACGAATGATATAAAATCAAGAAAACTCTAAAGCTTACTTCAAAGTGAATTTGCGATAAACAATTGCGCGAAATGTTAAGCCCCCACTACTACTGCATATGTAATAATTTTGACCACAATAAAGGCCATTTTCATTGGGTCATATATCGAAGCCTATCCAGAGGTATATGGCCTTGAAGCAGATAGAGATCAGGAAAAAGAAAGAGGGGAGGGGGAAGTGAATGAGAACAATCAAAGTCAGATGTTAACCTATTAACTAGACAACAGATGGATTGTGGCATTGTCGGTGGGTTTTCTCTTACTACCAAAACATAAACATCAGCGGGAAAATGAGACCATTTTGACTGAATAAGATGGAAAGAATATCATCCTCAAAAGAAGATATAAAAAATGATTTTCTGCGAAGTAAAAGAGTGGCTTCATAGAATTCTATGCGAATAATGCAGAAAAAAGAAGTGATATGAAGTTCTAAATAGAAATTCAAACAAGTGTAGGAGAATTTGAGCAAGAACTGCTAAACAAGGAATGCTAATTGTATGCCAAAGTTTGTCGAAAATAAAAGAGATTATGTAATCCAGTTTAGGGGTGTGCGATAGACTTACCTCCATGTGGTGCACCCTGGACAACGCATACCGATATGGCAAAAAAGTCTATAAACCGGCAGTTGACTTCTAACTTCAAACTGCTATGATCCCACTGTATGTCATATTCGACTACTTCCACAGTACTAAACTCACCTTTATTCAAACCTTACTACCTTCGTCTTTGAAACACTCTTCTGTTCACCCCTCTCTCGACTTTCTTTCACTTTGATATTCCTTTCCCTCTGCGAAGCCTGAAGTCAACAAAAGGGCTAATGATAACCATCAAAACGCCTGCCATTTGATATAAATAAATAAACATAACCCAGTTAAAGTTGAACCTAAGAAAATCACACTCTGCCGGCCCATATATCCATCCATTTACGCCAGTAGAGCTAGTAATGATATTTGATGAAAGAGTGTCGATAAAAATGTCAGCCTTAAATTTGGATTGAATAAGGAAAAATGAGTGAAAATAACAAGTTAGACACAACCACCAACAATTCTCATCAAGATAAGCAGATTGATGTAAACGAAGTGAACTCACAGATGACAAGTAAGCATGACACGGTTCGAATTCATCATCAACCGTCAGAGTATGAGTTGTGGTTTCTGTGTTCGACTCGGTAAGAATCTGCGGAATAGACTTTTCTGCTGTCATTGATGCAGAAAAAGCGGCTATTTCCAGTAGAGAAGTTGCAGAAGAGGATGAATCAGAGGAGACTTTTTCTCCATCACCCTCTCCGCTTCCGCGTTTCCTATCGCACCTACCAAGCCACAGCCGACGGTTCTGTGTTGCTCTACTATGATTATGAGGATGGTAGTGATGATTATGGCGATTTTGATGGCGAGGTTGGAGGTAGGGGTGAACGAGTGAAGGCATTGACTTAGCAAGATCTTCCACCACTACAAGAGGGGGAGAAGGCTTGGTTCGTTGTCCCTCTGG